AATTAGCAGTGGATGATGACATGTATCAGATATGCCATGGATTTTTTTCCAGAATGAAGTAAAAAGGCATTCCTACAACAGGAGGAACCAATCTGGAGATAGGAAAGCTAAGTACTGACACTGCCAAATACTGGAGAGCAGTAAGTAACAAGAAACACCTACTCTTTTCCTTCTCCCTTCAACTTCCAAAAGAAAACATGAATTTGCAGTTCAGAAACTCATAAGAGCAGGAACTTAAGATGGGTTGAAAACTAGCAACTACCTGAGACGGAAGAGGAAACATTATTCTGTACAGCTGAAGGTAGGAGAGGACAGGACAACTGTGACTATCAGAGAGAAAAGTATCAGCAATCATAGTTTCCTGGATATTTTTTGTCATGTGTTACAGGACATCGCAGAGATTGGCTGATGACTCCTTAATTCAACTTGTGAGACTAGTGAGCATCCAGATAAAGTCCCCAAAGACAAGGAGGGTACTAAGCAAACAACAAAAAGAGGTAAACAAATAAGTATGTTGATAGTATGTGTGCAGATGTATTTGTCCATATTGTGTGTGTGTGCATGGATGGGCGTGTATATTTGTTATACGTGTTATTTTAAGTATACATGCTGTTATGGACGCTGGTTTTAAAAGCATTTAATGGATGTAGGGGCATGAATCCCACTGATTTTCAAAATATATACGATATACTTAATGCATTCACTTACAACCCACTCAAAGGCAACCAAAATTTGACCAACAACCCCAGCAACACATAACTGCAGCCAAGGAAGAAACTACAATTTCTAGCTGCACACACTTGGAAAAAATAAATCAAATGTTATATCCACACATGAATACACATGCATTCAACACATACTTCTATAAACCTGTATATATAAAAACCACCTTTCCCTATGTATGTATATACAAAGCATACATTTACACTGACACAACAGTTATTTGAAAGGGAAATTTTCACAGAGCTGGAAACAATTATAAATAAAAAACAGTTTGAAGACAAAAATGTCAGCAGAAAAATATGAATAATAGCTAGGAAGTATTTCACAACATATCCCACACTCAAGATGAAAAGCTGCACCGATTCAAAAACTAACCTGGCTTAGGAACCTTTACTTCTCATTAGTAAATGAGAAATGAAAAAATGGGATGCGAATGGTAGCAAATATAAATAAGGAGTTGTAGAAAACTGCTGTGGAAAACAAAAGAATACAAGGAGATAGTCACAGACAGCTAAGGTCCTAAGAAGGCAGTATTTTAAAATCTATTGAAACCAGAAAAAATAATTCCCAAACTCTTAATTACTAGAGAGAAATGACAGAATTGTCTAAGATAATCAGAAAAGACAAATACTCTATTCCATATCAAGGCAAAGCTACACAAGAAATTCCTATCATCTAACAACATAGTTCTTTTCATTTCAACACAAGTTAAGGAGAATGCCAAATGATATGAGAATAAACATTTTTAAATCAGTGGCCCAGATACATTACATTTAAAAGTTTTAGGAGAGGAGGGATCCCATCTGAACTACAGGTTTTGGTTTTAACAAGTCTTGAGTGCTGTGATTCTCTGGTTCCAGAAAGAACCAAAGTACACAAGATGGCTGCCAGCTTTACCAAAAAAGCAGTAAGTGAAAAATACTCGGGGATTATGATGAATAATCAGTTGGACCAGGGCTCTGTTGTAATGGTAAGGCTACAAGATAAATGCAAGTCTTGGACATGGGATGAAACTGCTAAACAGAAAGCTGTATGTGCAGGCTGAAGAGAATATAACTACTGGAGGATGCTAGATCCTTATCCTCATATAAGTAGGTTTGTTTTTATACTACAGCTAAAACCAAATGTACATCTTTGATCTGTGATACGTAAATAGTTAACTAAGGACCAATTTAGTGTTATTTTAAACTATCATTTATGTAACATAGTTAACTAAGGAAGGATCAATTTAATGTTATTTTAAGCTCTCGGTTATGATCCTGCAACCCGTCAATGCTGGAAGACTGATGAATGTAACATAAACAAAACTGAGTAAGTGTGTGCATTCTATAAAACGGAGTACAGAAGTTCTGGAAATATTTCAAGTATTTGGAACTCACTAAAGTATTTGCTCAACATGCTATATATATTTTCCCAAACTTTCCCTCATGTATTACGAAAAGTTGTCTTCATGTATGTCTGGAAAAAAACTCCACTGTTTTTATAAAATATTATTAAATTTTCACCTGATTTCTTGGATGTTTGCTGTTCTGATGCTTGACTGAGTTGTGATTGATTAGATAAAAGCTTGTTTTTGCTGCTACTGGGATATAAGGCTGCCTTTTGGCTTGTTTCCTGAGGGTCTAATCTTACTCTTTTAGTTTGGACTTCTGTTTCAGTAAACTGTGAAAGCACATTGGTCTTTGCATTTCCTTCTTCTCCTTTTTTTTCAGCACCTTCTGTTCCACTTACTCCAGCAAACACTCCTTCATCTGTTAGTTTAACAAAAGAACTTAAGAGTATCTATGACATAATACTCAGTAATTTCAGAAATTATAACTGATATTAAAATGAATGTCAAAATCACCACCTAGTCTAGGTTAAAAAATGCCTGCAGTAACTCACTCAATTTTTGAAAATACATTAACAAAATAAATCCTTTAACCACTATTCACCATATGTTAATGTACTGAGATTGAATCCAAAACAATTCAAAGATTCCTTTGTGAAGATATGACCATTATTGATTCTTAGGTATTAAAAAAGATAAGGTACTTAAGACTTTCATTCTAATTATTGTAATAACCATTGCGGTCACATTTTGGTAAATACAATGGGGACTTGGATATATGAAACAGCCCCCAAAAACACAAAGCAAAAATTACTAACTAATCAATCTGGCATAGTGGACTGTACCACAACACATTCCATGTTTCTGCTATTTATTTATGGCAAAATACATTCTCTGGAGACCAACAGTTGGGTTTTTTTAATAAAATACACAGAATGCTTACAACAAACTCATAAAATAATTATTTTCAAACAAAACATGGCATCTGTTTTCTGGGAGGTTTCTTTCTGTGTATTTTCCACAATCTGAAATGAATAAGGAGACTTGCTGTCTGCATTAACACCAAAATGCAAATCTGCTTTTGAGTTGGTCTCCCGAAGATCCTCTCTCTTTAGTCTAATTTGAAGTGTGTCCTTTTCATTGAGTTGTAAAGCTACAGGCTCCATCTCTAGACTACTAGCATTTTCAGTTTCAATGTGACATCCTTCAACACTCACTTCTGCATTAAGCAGGATCCTCCCTCCCTTCTCTGCTTGTGGAGCCTTTTGTTCAATGGTGCTTAGTACACCACTGGTAGAATTATAAGGACTTCCAGAAACACTTAGTGTTGCAGAACACTTAGTGTTCCAGAAACATTAGTACCTGCTAAAAGCTCATGTGCTAACAGTGTTTCTGCATTTGCTTGAAGTGTCTGTTCAGTGCAGCTGCTTCCATCTTCAGATATATTAGTATAAATGTTCTGCACCTCATTTACAATAGTCCGCTGCGGTATGTCTATGCTGCCTGAAACCATAAGATTTGCACATGGTGGTTCTGACTGATCTGTCTGTAAGGAAATCTGTTCAAACAAAGGCAAAGAGAGTTTTAAACTTAGAGCTGATCCATTAATTTTGTTTCCATCAACATCAGATCTAACTTGATTTGTCAAGTTTTGCAAAGAAGTAATTCGTTCTGAAGGTATTCTCGTACCGGTATTTAGATTCCTGTCACTCAAACTACTGCTGTAACTCTGTTTGAGACTATGTTGATCACTGTCATAACTCTTGACTTCCTGTTGTAACTTTAAAACAGATACATTGTGAGAGGAAGTCAAAGCAAGTTAAGTATTGACTGAGAATCAAGTTCTGTTAAATCAGTACTCTGAGAATGCTGTGCAGACACTTTTTCTCCAGAAACCATGATGGGGGGCAATGCAAACTGGTGATCTCCTCCCCTGTTACAACAGAAGTTGCTGAGCTTCCACCAGTTCTGCCCTTTTCTTCTGTAAATGCATTTTCATTGCTACCACTGTTGAATTCATGTCCCTGTTGCAATTCTGTCTGACTTACCTCAGTGTTCCTACAACATCAACTGGGATGCAACAATTATGATTAGAAACAGCAACAGTGTGGCCCATTTCATTAGGTTCAGCATCAGGGAAATAAATTTTCTGTAATTTAACTGTTCCTTGGTTTGTAAGTGGACCTAAACATGAGGTCCATCTAACATGAGACATTATTTCTGAATAGTTTTACTCGTAGCCCCTGCTATAAGAATAGCAGATTTTTTTGTCTTTTTTGAACTTGTATTTTTTTTCATTCCATTTTCTGCCTTTAGAATCCTGAAGAACTTTATTTTTTATATATTTCACCAAATTTGTTTTTCTGCTTTGCTCATTTTCAGCAACACTTCCTTTGATGCTTTAGTATTATCATGTTGAACTGTGCCACCTGCATTTAATTCTGTCTACAAAACAGGCCATATACTTAATTTCATTTTCTGATAAATTGCTTTATTATATACTAAAAGAAAACTGTGCTATTATAAAATTAACTGATTTCCTCTGCCTGAACAGATTTTTAAGACAGCAGGACAAAGAAATTAAGGAACTAAGAAATATGTGTATGAAAGTGTAAAAATTAATGGGTGAAATCCAATGATAAATATTACTGAAGTGCTTTACACTTTTATTTATTTCTGAAAATTGAACTGGTTTCGAATGAATGCTCTGCCTTTAAAGAATTAAAACTACACTGCTTCTGTGGTCATATACCAGAGCTACAGTTTCACATTTCTGGCAAACCTGTCTGCAATGATTCTAGGAAATTATAAAGAAAGGGAAATAACACAGTAAAAACACGCAGAATTAACTCATGACAATCTCGCATCAAAACTGCTCCAAAGGCCAATGACTAACTAGAATTATCCTGTTGATTACTTCGTATCTGGAGATAGACCCAGATCACGAACACCGCAACAACTCACACAACTGTTGAAATCATCAGTTACACAGCCACAGTAATAGGTTTTCCCAATTGAATGTTTACAACACCTTCTACTGGGAGAATATCCTTCGTCAATCAACTAATGTTTTAAAGTGTAATCTAAGACTATATACCATGGATGCTGTTATAGCGTAACATTTCTAAGGACACCATACACTGGACTACTGTGAGTAACAAGGACAGTTATCATAACCACATAAAACTTTAGGAAGCAAGAATAAAGTGTCTGTGCACACTGCATTATATGTTTCAGATATTACCAGTTATCATTGTTCAAAGGGGAGAAAATGAGGAGAGTACAGCTTTTAATGCCAAAAGCTGTTGTGCTATACGCAAACAATGACCCAAGTGACTGATTATGGTGTTTTGTCTTCATGTGAGGCACTAGCTCCCGCATCTTACTGACATCTCACGGTATAACTGTGCAACCCCTGTGCAAGACAGTGGCTCCCTAACCCTTTCCTATCAAAACACAACACAGCCTACTACACAGAGGCAAGAAGCAGCTACCCTACTGCTACAAGCCAGACATCATCTTGCCATTTCAGCCAGGTTTCTGCAAGTACAAAGGGACACTGATGTACCATGCTTGTTGTAAGTTACCTCTGCAGCAAGTGCAAAACCTCAGCAAGAACCACTGTCTGTGAGAGGCAGCTGATTGCCTCTGTCTTGCATCTTCATGAGGCTGCAGCTTATCCCACGTACCAGTAAGGATCAGCAACTGCTTGCCAAAGAATTGGCATAACATTAAATATCGTTCTGTTTCAGTCCCTGGTGGGTATGAAGCATCTAGTACATTATGTGCTGGTTTTGAAACACATTTCTGAAATAGTCGTCTGCTTTAGTTTACTGAAGATTGCTAGCAAGCCCTTAACAGTTCAGCATCAAATTAACATCACGATTCTTTGTAAAGATGTACCTGGTGCAGATTTGTATCTTCTACGCTGTGAGTATTTAACATATTCTTTGAATCATCTCCACCTGAAATGAAAATGAAAGACAGAAGGAAACCAGAATTTCCTTCCAAAAGAGACCATGATTCTTTACTGTGCATGCACACCATCTTGTGTCCACAATCTTGTGTGTAACAGTACTTACCACATTTAGCTATCCAGAAAAATTACCAAGCTATAAGGGTTTTATTAGAATCTAAAACATATCAATATATAAAATATATATATTAAAATCCTGGGAGTCTGATTTTTGCTGCAGGTGGCATCTTGTAGAAACCAGGACAGGTGAGAGTAAAGTATGACATTATGCTTCCAAATTTTTTTGAAGATTAGTGACCTGAGAAATTCTTTTTGAAACTTAGAGGAGCTACTACATTTCCTTAACTTCTAACAGGCTTCCCTGATCCCCAAGAGACTTTTCTGAAGCCAGCGATGGTGGGATGACAGCCTAGCTTACATCTTTCCCTGTATAACATATTTGGGCAGGGAAAGGGATGGAGTAGCTAAAGCCAAGTCATTGGTGTAAAAATAGGCAGGGATATTCCCCAGCACCAATTCAGCGCCTTGCTGGTGGTTTGCTTTAGCTTTCCAGCTACCTCTGTGCTGACAAAATGGCATAAAGAGCATAGCAGCTACCAAGATCTTATTCTAGGTATTAATATACTTACTTAATTCATGCAACGCTATGTATTTACTTCTGGCCAATATGTTTTTAAACCTAGACTAGCCACACCATATTGAAAAAAATCTAGCTCATCACCCTTTGTTATTTTGTGCTGCAACATGAACCCCAACCCCAGTCCTAAGATTCACTCAACAACCCACACTGGAAGCAGCCTTAAATTTAACAGGCATTTCACAGCATGGCAACTCTTTCTCCACCACTTTAGGGAATCTGGCATGCCAGATGTTAACCCTAGCCTTAGGGTGACTGTTAGTCCACTGGACCCTGCCAGTCTTAGTCCTAAATTAAGCCCAATGGTCCAGCTATTGAACACTGATTAAGCCAAACCCTAACCCAAACCATAATTTTGAACATATTTTTAGCCCACCAACCTTTGTTAAGGCTCAGAATATCTAGATGACCTTTGGTGGCTGCAGCCCTAACCTCTAATCATGGGGCCTCCCAAATACAGCAGTCCCTGTCAGTCTAATCTCTTACAGTAGCATTAACCTGAAGCCAGTAACTCCTGCCTACTCCTACTGCCCTGATTCTAAACTTACAGAATCATAGAATCAAAGAATGGTTTGGGTTGGAAAGGACCTTTAAAGGTCATCTAGTCCAACCCCCCCCACCATGGGCAGGGACATCTTCAACCAGACCGGGTTGCTCAGAGCCCCGTCCAACCTGACCTTGAATGTTTCCAGGGATGGGGCATCCACCACCTCTCTGGGCAACCTGTGCCAGTGTTTCACCACCCTCAGCATAAAAAATTTCTTCCTTATATCTAGTCTGAATCTACCCTCTTTTAGTTTAAAACCATTCCCCCTTGTCCTATTGCAACAGGCCCTGCCAAAAAGTCTGTCCCCGTCTTTCTTATAAGCCCCCTTTAAGTATTGAAAGGCCACAATAAAGTCTCCCCGGAGCCTCCTCTTCTCCAGGCTGAACAACCCCAACTCTCTCAGCCTTTCCCCATAGGAGAGGTGTTCCATCCCTCTGACCATTTCTGTGGCCCTCCTCTGGACCCGCTCCAGCACGTCCACATCTTTCCTGTATTAAGGACTCCAGTACTGCAGGTGGGGTCTCACCAGAGCAGAGTAGAGGGGCAGAATCACCTCCCT